GATTATTCACCTACGATCTGTCTTGCAGTGTCTGTAGACTGTAGACAGTACTCAGAATTAGACCGTTTTCAGGAAAAAAATATTGCGGCGAGTAGTATGCAACGAGATCGACTTCCCGCTTGACTCTTTTTTCATAATCGATTCGACTTTCGACTCAAATCGTCTACTTGTCAGTCCAGTTCTGGATGAAACCCCGTAGATCTTCAAAGCATGAAATAACCGGAAATTTAATTTAGCAGAAAATGCGCAGCTACTGTTCATCTACACACGCTTTGCCCTTGTGGCCTGTCGATCTTCTGCAACCCAGCACACATGAGGTCAAACGCCACAATGAGGTCGGCTGGCTTGCCACAACGTGAACCAAAGGACTTACCGATCCGCCTCTGGTGCCTAAATTCGGCTGAGCGCTGTGAGAAAACGAGCTCCAGTTGAATGCCATATCCGGGTCGTCGAGTACGCGTGCTGCACGACGAACGTTGTGAAGGGATGACAGACGCAAGGCTGTTCCGTCAGGCAGCCGGCGCAGGCCAAGCGGCTTGGACTGCCAGTTTTCTGAATCACGGATGTAAAACGTAATCACAGTGCGGAAACCCATTTTTGAAAAAGCAAAGTAATTTTTTGCAAATGAAGTGAAAATCTCCAGCAACCTATGCGTTTATGTTCACACTCGGATCCCATTGAAAAAGGAGGGAGAATAAGCGATTAAAATTAAACCGTGGTCAATAATGCATGTCGGTTTTACGTTAAAGCAGAAGTTAGCCATCAGAGTTCGTGTGAATTCTGTCCATACGGGCGGGAACTCGGACACGAAACCCCGGGTAACAGTCGAGAATCCGTTTAAGTACCTTATGCTTCATGTCCAGGGAGGTGTAACTTTACCCAAGCCATTCAGTACTATTCTTCGAAACAGTGTTGACCCTGGCTGGCAAATATAAAGGTCTTTCTCCCGTGGGAAGGCGCAATTCAAGACATGCGGCTTCATATTATCCTGCTGAGTAGTACCGAAAGTTGGACATGACACATGGTGGCTTCAGTGTGCGACGCAATTGCTAAAGCTGGCTTCTGGCTTAACACCTGGAAGTCTAAAGTTACGAGGAACCCACGTGGTACAGTTAGTCAACAAGTGGAATTGGGAGGTGAAGTTCTTGAAACGGTTGGCCAATAGGAGTAACTCGGTTGTATCATTGTCAGCGATAGCACCATCCAATCAATCAGCTAAATGGAAGGATTACCCTAGCCTCAGTTGATTTTAAAAACCTGTTTAATATTTCGACAAAAACGAGTATCTCTTCGCACAAAAATCTAATGTATCCTGCCTCAGTCAGGTTAGCATTTTTGCACGGAACGGCGTAAGCAATGATTCATTCTATTCAGTTACGATATTCTCGGTGGCTGTGGAGGTTAAAAAAAGGAGGTTGGCAATGTTACACAAACAATTTGAGCATGAATAGCCCATGGGTTTGTCGTGTTGGAGCCAAAATGAGGCAGTCGATCAGGTATCGACGCGGTGGTGAGCATGTAACGCGGAGGAGCGAGGTAGAGGCGGATATGTTTTCAGAGACGTATATTTCCTTATAGGAAACAGTAGCCGGTGCCTCGTAGCAAAAGTGCTGAAGAGCTGCGACATGGTGGGCTTCACAAACCAATGACGTTCTGCTCATGCAGAAACGTGATGAGGTGATGGTCTCAATTAGCGAGCGCAGACATGCATTGCACCCAAAATAGCAACAACGTGAGTGGCAGAAAAAGGGTTCGAATCTTTATATTAAAAAAATTTTAAAACTTCATCTTCCATCGCCGCTTCTCCTTTCGGGTCGCGGAGGCAGACGCGTCAGACAGTGCTTCCAAC